CTCGGCCCGGACGGCAAGTCCCAGGTAACGGTGGAATATCGTTTCGGCAAACCCCACCGCGTCGAAGCAATTGTAATCAGCTCGCAGCACGAAGACCAGCCTGACCGGGAGGCCTTCCAGGCGAAAATCCGCCGCGACGTTATCGACAACGTCATCATACCCGTGGTGCCGGCTCATCTGCTGGACGACGAGACCAAGTATTACGTCAACCCCAGCGGTTGGTTCGTGGTGGGTGGCCCCCAGGGGGATACCGGATTGACCGGTCGCAAAATCCTGGTCGACACCTACGGCGGCATCGCCCGACACGGCGGTGGCGCTTTCTCAGGCAAAGACCCGACTAAGGTTGACCGTTCTGGCGCCTATGCCGCCCGTTACGTAGCGAAAAATCTGGTTGCCGCCGGACTCGCCGACCGCGTTGAAGTCATCGTTTCCTACGCCATCGGCGTCGCGGAGCCAATTTCCGTCTCCGTCGAAACCTTCGACACCAACCACCTGCCCAACGAGCGCATCGAGCAACTGGTAACCGAGCATTTCGACCTGCGCCCCGGCGCGATCATCGAAGATTTGGACCTCCGACGGCCCATCTACGGCAAGACCGCCGCTTACGGGCACTTTGGTCGCAACGATCTGGACCTGCCTTGGGAGCGAACTGACAAGGCTGAGGGACTGAAGCAGGCTGCCGGAGCCATGGCAGCCGCCTCTGGCGACTGACCGACCGAAAACAGGACAACTGCCCCGGTGCGATCCCTTCCCCAAGCGGGGAAGGGGATTTTTCTTGCGTCTGCACCGGCGCAATTTCGCCAACACGCGGTTCGCCTCAAATCGCCCGTCACGGTTCATCAGGGTCTTTGGAAGCACTGCCGCCGAATGATAGAATCCAGGCATGAACACCCCAATCAAATTCGGCACCGACGGTTGGCGTGGCATTATCGCCGACGATTTTACCTTTGCTAACGTTGCTCGTTGTGCCCAGGGACTGGCGGACTACCTGCGAATCCAGGGCACCGGCGGCTCTGGGCTGGTGCTCGGGTACGACACGCGGTTTGCATCTCGTGAATTCGGCGACACCGTTGCCTCGGTAATGGCCGGCAACGGTATTCACGTTTACCTGTGCGCCGAGCCGGTGCCAACCCCGGTAGTAAGCCACCACGTTGTGCATCGGCAGGCGGCCGGCGGCGTTGTAATCACAGCCAGCCACAACCCGGCCGGCTGGAACGGTTTCAAGTTCAAGTCCAATCTCGGCGGCAGCGCCAGCCAGGAAACCACGGACGTGCTTGAAATGTGCATCGAATCCGCCGGAGCGCCGAAATCGCTCCCGTTGGCCGAAGCGCGCGCCGCCGGTTTGGTTGAAAATGTGGACCCCAACCCGGCCTACCGCCAATCCATCGCCGGCCTCATCGACCTGGACGCCATCCGTGCTGCTGGTCTGAATGTGCTGGTTGACGCGATGCACGGGGCTGGCGCGGGCTACTTTGCCAATTTGTTGTGTGGTGGCGCAACGGCAGTAACGGAATTGCGGGGCGAACGCAACCCCGCCTTCCCTGGCATGGCCCAGCCCGAACCCATCGGCCACAACCTGACCGAACTCTGCCGCCGCGTGGTAGCCGATGGCGCATCGGTGGGCCTGGCTCTGGACGGCGACGCGGATCGAATCGGGTTGGTCGACCAACGGGGTCGTTTCGTCAGCACCCTGGAAGTATTCTCGTTGCTGGCGATGTACCTTTTGGGACGCGGCGACCGTGGGTCATTGGTCAAAGGCGTTACGGCGTCGGTGATGCTGAACAAACTGGCAGAACACTACGGCGTGCCGGTTGTCGAGCTTCCCGTTGGGTTCAAAAACATCGGCCCACGCTTTGTCGCCGACCATGCGCTGTTGGGCGGTGAAGAGAGCGGCGGCTACGCCTTTCGCGGCACATCCCTGAACGCGACGGCATTCTGAGCGGCCTTTACTTGCTGGAATATCTCGCCACCACTGGTATGGAAGCGTCTGAGATGGTGGAGATTTTGTTTGACCTGGTTGGTGAGCATCACTATCAGCGCCGCGACGTGGGATTCGACCCGTCGGCACGGGCCGCGATATTGGGACGTTTGACCGGAGAGCCGCTGACCAATCTGTCGGGAATGAACATTACCGGCATCGACGAAATCGATGGCCGCCGGTGGATGCTCGACGCGGGTTGGGTCGCGGCCCGCTTTTCCGGCACCGAGCCGTTGCTACGCATTTATTGCGAAGCGGACAGCACCGCCAACGTAACGAGGTTGCTTGATGCCATGCAGGCGCATCTGGGCGTTTAGGAGGGAGGAATCCGGGAGGATAGATGGAACCAGCGACACCCCTGCGCCGCCTGGGCGCATTGCTGCTTGATGGCCTGCTGTTTTTCCTGACGCTGGTTGTAGGCTACATAATTTGGTGGCTGATTGTACTGCGACGCGGTCAGACGCCAGGGAAGCAGTTGTTGGGCATCCGGACAGTACGTCGTGATGGGAACCCAGCCGGCTGGGGATTGACTTTCGTGCGTGAACTCGTGAAATTTGTCATCCACAGTTTCGGTCCCATAGGATATTTGGCCGACTCGATCCTGTTGCTGCTGGACGATGACGAGCATCGGTCGCTGGCTGACCGGTCTGCTGGCACCGTTGTGATCCGAATTCAACCACCGGCGATTGCGCTTTTGCAATCCGAAGTGGGTCAATAGTCGTACTCATTGTAGGGCATCGGCTTCGCGACGCCCGCACCGGAAGCACGGCATTCAACGATCGAATGGTGAGCCCAATGACCACTCCCGCCAATGTTCCCAACTCTGAACCAGTCAACGCTGGCCTTTGGGATAGGCTGCCGGTCAGCCGCAACGTCGTCATCGCCACCGTCATCGCTGCCATCGCGTACGGTTTGGCGATCGCGGGGGCGCTCGTCCTGCGCAATGCAGAGGGCATTGACGGTGTGAACCGATTCGTCGAAGGGCTGTCTGGCACATCCGGCGCCGGCATCAGCAACCTGGGGATAAAGTTGGGATTTGCCTATGCAGTCGGCGCGGCGTCGGCGGTGAACCCGTGTGGATTCGCAATGCTGCCAGCCTATCTCGGTATGTACGTCAGCGGAGGCAATCAGGATCGCGACCGTCGACCGGTTCTGCTAGTTGGCCGCGCCATCATGGTGGGATTGTCCGTGTCCCTGGGATTTGTCGTGCTGTTCGGTGTGGTCGGGCTGATCTTGGGGTTCGGTTCGCAGGCCATCGTCGTAACCGCGTTGCCCTACGTAGGATTGGCAGTGGGCGTTCTGCTGATTGGAGCCGGGGCGTTCATGGCCGCCGGCGGCAAGATCTATACCAGCCTGGCCCAACGCCTTGCCGCCCGCGTGGGCGACCCGGGGCAGCTGAACGTGCCGGGTTATGTGCTGTTCGGCGTCAGCTACGGGTTGGCATCGCTGAGCTGCACGTTGCCGCTATTCCTGGCGGTTCTGGGAGTCGGCGCCGGATTGTCCTCCGGTTGGCTGGACACCATCGGGCAATTTGTTCTGTACGCGCTGGGAATGGGTAGCGTCATCCTGGCCCTCACACTGGGGATGGCAGTGGCTCGGACGGTTTTGTTGCGTTGGATGCGAGCCGCCCTGCCCTACGTCGGCATCGTCGGCGCCTGGCTGATGGTATTGGCCGGCACCTACATCGTCTTCTATTGGCTGACGCTGGGCGACTTGCTGTAATAATGAAATCACCCCTCGGCGCTGACCGAGGGGTGATTTTGTCCTGAAGGCTGGTGTAGGCGGGAACCTACCGCTTGGTGTACTGCGGCGCGCGGCGGGCGCGCTTCAGGCCGTACTTCTTGCTTTCTTTCACCCTGGCGTCTCGGGTAATGAAACCGGCCCTTCGCAAACTGGGTTTCAAGTCGGAGTCGAAAGTAACCAAAGCACGGGTAATCCCATGGCGTATGGCCTCAGCCTGCGCGTTAACGCCGCCGCCGATCACCTGAGCCATCACCCGGAAGCGGCCCACCGTGTCTGATATAACGAAGGCTTCCCGAATGGTGGACTGCCAGGGCAGCCAGTTGAAGTATTCTTCCATCGGTTTGCCGTTGACGATGATGGCAGTGCCGTCATCCGGATACAGGCGAACTTTGGCGATCGCACACTTGCGTTTGCCGGTGCCGTAGAAATACTGTTGCTGCGCTTCGGTTTGAACCACCATTGATTACCTGCCTGTGCGGATGATTGGCCTGGATTGTCCGTGGAATTATTCGGCGTTGCCGACCTGAGCCTGATGGGGATGCTGGTCGCCGGCGTACACACGCAGCTTCCGGAGCATATGCCGCCCCAGCTTGTTGGATGGCAGCATACCCTTGACTGCCAGTTGCACGACACGCTCAGGGCGTTCTTCCAGCATGTCGCGCAACATGAACGATTTCAGGTTGCCAACATAGCCGCTGTGCCGATAGTACATTTTCTGCATCAGCTTGCGTCCGGTGATGCGCACGTTGCTGGCATTGATTACTACTACGTGGTCGCCGGAGATGACGTGAGGCGTGTACGTCGGCTGGTCTTTGCCCTGCAAAGCAATGGCAACCTGCCGAGCCAATCGACCCAGGCTGACGCCGGTGGCGTCAATCACCCGCCAGTTGTCCGGCAGGTCAGAGGCTTTGGCGAAGTAAGTGCTAGTGCGTTTCATCGTGGTTGGTTACCTTCAGTATGTGGTCGTATTCAGGGTAGTGTACCGACATGAGGCAAAGCCCATGCGCAGGAAGGGCGGGAATTTGGCGAGGTACTGGGCTTCTTCCTTCCAAGGCTTCAGCCATGGCGTGAATTGGTAGTCGGCCTCGGCCTATTTCAATCAATACTGCGTTTACTCGTCTGATTTGATACCTTAGAAAACCGTTTGCCGCGCATTTGATTACGATGACATCCTCGTTGGCTGGGTTTTGGAGCACCTGCCACTCGTAAACCCACCGCACCGCGCTGCGTTGAGCCGGGTGTCCTGTCGCGATTTTACGAAAGTCGCGGATCCCGGTCAGGCTGCTGGCCGCCTGTGCCATCGCCGGAAGGTTCAAGGGTTCTGGCACACGGTGATGGGTGTTGCGAAGCAAAGGCGATGGCGTCGTCCGATTCAGGATGCTGTATTGGTAGACCCGACGAGTGGCGCTGCGCCGCGCATGAAACCCGTGCGGAACCGCATCCACCCTGATCGCTCTGATTGCATCTGGCAGGTAATGGTTCACGGCCCGCAGAAACACGTCTGTTCCGTAAGGCTTGTCCGTGATGAAATCCACTACCTGGCCACAGGCGTGTGCCCCCGCGTCAGTCCGGCTAGCCCCCCTTATTCGGGTTGCTGCGCCCGTTAGTCTGGAGATTGCCGACTCCAACTCTCCCTGGATAGTGGGAGTGCCGGCTTGCAATTGAAATCCGGCGTAGTTGGTACCGTCATAGGCCACCGTCAGGGCGATGCGCCGGCAATTTTCGGCGTCATTGCATTGGGATGTCAAGTTGTCAATCTCGTTATGGCAATTCCTCTATCAACCGTATTCGGGGTTCGGTTAGACTAATTCGATAACCGCCATGTAGGCGCCATCGCCCTGTCGCGGCCCCAGTTTGATGATGCGGGTGTAACCGCCGGGCCGTTCCGCGTAGCGCGGGCCCAGGTCGTTGAAAACCTTGGCAACGGTATCTTTATGAGGTACCTGGCGCAGGGCGATGCGCCGGTTGTGCAACGTCCCCTTTTTGCCGTGGGTGATGAGTTTTTCGGCCATCACCCGTGTTTCCTTGGCCTTGGCTAGCGTGGTGGTGATGCGCTCATGCTCGATGAGGTCGACCGTCAAGCCGCGCAAAAGCGCCTTACGTTGGTCTTTGTACCGGCTCAACTTCCGGCCGGTAACGCGGTGCGATGGCATAACTAGTCTCCGTCTTCCTCGTAATCGAGGTTATCATCATCGTCTTCGGGGTCGAATACCAGGGGGCCGTCCGGCACGGTAAATGACTCATCATCGCGATCGCCGTCAACGGATTCGCCGGCCATCCGGGGCGGCATTACGCCCAGTTCGTCCAGCTTGCCCTGGAGTTCTTCGAGCGATTTTTGACCAAAATTGCGAATCGCCAGCAGGTCTTCGCTGCTCAAATCGAGCACCTGACCAACCCGGTCCAGTTTTGCCCGTTTCAGGCAATTCAGGGTACGGGAGGACAAGTCCAGCCGTTCAATCGGCATTAGGTAAACTTCAGATGCCACCGGCAGGTTGGAGGTGTCCAGGGGCGAGTCGGGAGGCCGACTGAGCTGGTTGAACATGAAGAAATGTTGCACCAGATTCTCGGAGGCTTCCTGAATTGCCGACAATGGAGTAACGGCTCCATCGGTCCATACCTGCAGGATCAGGCGTTCCCAGTCCGTCTGCTGGCCGACCATCATCCTTTCCACCGAGTATTCGACCCGGCGTACCGGATTGTAGATGGCGTCGACCGGTAGCACGCCCACCGGCAGTCCCACCATGTTGTCCGCCTGCGACACCTGCTGGTAACCCTTGCCGGACTCCACGTTGAATTCCACGGACAGTGAAACGTCAGGGTTGTCCAGGGTGGCAAGGTGCAGCTCTGGGTTCACAATCTGATAGTCGCTGGCGGTGGAAATATCGCCGGCGCAAACCCGTCCCTCGCCGGTTATATCAAGCCGCATCTTGCCGGTGCGCTTGGTAATGGCGTGGATCCGGATGCGTTTGACGCTGAGCAGGAGGTCCATAACCTCCTCCTTCACGCCTGGGATGACGGTGTATTCATGGGGCACGCCGTCAATCTTGACCCAGGTGATGGCAGTGCCCTCAATCGAGCTTAGCAGCAATCGCCGCAAAGGGTTGCCGACGGTGGTGGCGAATCCGCGTTCCAGCGGTTCCAGCGCGACGCACGCGAAGGTATCTGTGCTTTCAATTACCCGGATCGCCGGAACCGGCGCTTCGGGTTCGGAATCCCGCATTTGTGGGAACTGGGTGTTTATCATTCAGGCGCTTACCTTGAGTAGAACTCGACGATGAGACGAGAATTGATGGTGTCCGGCAACTCGTTGTCCGGAGGTAGCGAGACGACCTGGCCAACCATCGCGGTGAGGTCCAGTGTGAGCCAGCTGGGGAGTGTTCGCTTGGGCAGCCCTTCGGTGCGTTCCGCGAAGAAATCCCGCCGGCGGGAAGATTCGGTCCAGGCCACGGTTTGCCCCGGCGTTACCATAAAAGAAGGTATGTCGGTTTTGCGCCCGTTGATGGTGAAATGGCCGTGCTGAACCATTTGGCGGGCCTGCTTGCGCGAATCGGCAAACCCCAGCAGGAAAACCACGTTGTCCAGCCGACGTTCCAGCGTTCGCAGCAGGTTGTTGCCGGAGATTCCCGGAGTGTTGAACGCGTCGGTCATGTACTTGCGGAACTGGCCTTCCATCACGCCATACATCTGGCGCGCCTTCTGCTTCTCGCGCAGGTGAACTCCGTAGTCGGATACCCGACGCCGACGGTTGCCGCCGCCTCCGGGTGGAATATGACGACGCTCAATGGCGCAACGCGGTGAGAAGCAGCGGTCGCCCTTCAGGAAGAGTTTCTCCCCGGCACGGCGGCAAAGGCGACAGGATGGTCCGGTATATCTGCCCATATTTAGTCAGTCCGTAGGGGGTGTCAGAGAGAGGGAATCGGCGGAATTATACGCGCCGACGTTTGGGGGGCCGTACGCCGTTGTGAGGAATCGGGGTAACGTCCCGGATGCTGCTTACGTTCAGTCCGGCAGCTTGCAGTGCGCGGATGGCCGGTTCACGGCCTGAGCCCGGGCCCTTGATGTACACGTCGATGTAACGCATACCCATGTCAACCCCGCGGCGGGCTGCCTGTTCTGCCGCACGTTGGGCGGCGAAGGCCGTGCCTTTGCGCGAACCGCGGAACCCGGCGGTGCCGGAACTGGTGGACGCCACCACGTTTCCTTCCGGGTCTGTGATGCTCACCAGCGTATTGTTGAACGTGGAGTAGATATAAGCGCGGCCCTGTGGAATGGACCGGCGCTCGCGTCGGCGGGTTCGGGGTCTGGGCATGGGTTATTACCTCGGTTTGGTTCTAGAAGCCGGGGGCAATGGCGGGCAAAGCACCAGCCGTTGCTACTTCTTGCCGGCAGTGCGACGTCCGCGACCGGCCACGGTGCGGCGTGCGCCCTTGCGAGACCGGGCGTTGGTGCGCGTCCGCTGCCCGTGTACCGGCAGGTTGCGACGGTGGCGCAGGCCACGGTAGCTGCCGATGTCGATGAGCCGCCGTATATTCTCGTTGTGTTCCCGGCGCAGGTCACCTTCCGTGATGTAATCCTGGTCAACAATGACGCGGATGCGGTCGAGTTGATCCTCATCCAAATCGCTCATACGGGGCGGCATTTCCATATCGAGATTAGCCTTGCCGACTATCTCGATGGCTTTGGTCGGGCCGATTCCGTAGATGCTGCGCAGCGCGATGTGGGCGCGCTTGCGGTCTGGAACGTCAACTCCGGCGATACGAACCATGGGGATACTCCTCGGTATTGAATGTTGCGACCGACGACCGGGCCCGGGGTTAACCCTGGCGCTGGACGTGCTTGCTGTTGACGCAAATGATGCGGACAACACCCTTGCGGCGAATTATCTGACAACGGTCGCAGCGTGGTTTAACGGATGCTGATACTTTCATTGGAATTCACCGATCCCGGTTTACTTGAAGCGATAGGTGATACGCCCGCGGGTCAGGTCGTAAGGGGATAGCTCAACCAGAACCCGGTCGCCGGGCAGCACGCGGATGAAGTGCATCCGAATCTTTCCAGAAACGTGGGCCAAAACCTGGTGATCATTAGGCAACTCCACACGGAACATTCCGTTGGGGAGCGCCTCGGTTACCTGAGCTTCTACTTCGATTGCTTCTTTCTTAGCCATAATTTAGCCTGCCTTCGCCGTGGTTGCTCAGCGAGCTCCTTCCGGCGGTGTGGGGAACTTATTAATCGTGCAACGTCAAGATTTTCGGGCCGTCCTGGGTTATTGCCAACGTGTGTTCGAAATGAGCGGACAGCGCGCCATCGGCAGTTACCACCGTCCAGTCGTCGTCCAGTATCTGTGCGTCGTGGGTGCCCAGATTGAGCATGGGCTCGATACAGATGCACATACCCGGCCGCAGCAGTACACCCTTGCCGGGTTCGCCGTAATTGGGAACTTGCGGGTCTTCGTGCAGGAACCGTCCCACGCCGTGGCCCACAAACTGACGCACCACCCCGTAGCCGAGAGGTTCGGCGTAGCCCTGTACGGCGGCGCCAATGTCGCCGATGCGGTTGCCCGGCTGAGCGGCCGCGATTCCGGCCATCAGACTCGATTCAGTGTCGGCCATCAGGTTGAGGGCAGCCTCGCTAACTTCGCCGACGGCCACCGAAATGGCAGCGTCGCCAATGAAGCCGTCGATAGTGGCCCCCACATCCATTTTGATGATGTCTCCTTCCTTGAGCACGCGTTTGCCGGGGATTCCGTGCACGATCTCCTCATTCACGGACGCACAAATGGCCGCCGGAAATCCTTGATAGCCAATAAAAGTCGGGACTGCTCCGTGGCTTCGGATGTGCCGATCGGCGATGCGGTTCAGTTCGCCGGTGGTAATCCCTGGCTCAACCGAAGTCTTCAGCAGGGACAAGGTCGAACCGACGATCGCGCCGGCTCTTTCCATTGCCTGCATCTCCCGGCGCGACTTGATCGTGATTCCCCCGGTATAAGAAGAGGGGGAATTGGAAGCGGTTTTGCGTTTTGGTGCGTTGTTCACCATTCTGATTATACCTCAAATCCGTTCCCAATGGAACGAATCAGGCTACACATACACCCAGGGCCAACAGCACCGACTCGTTGACGGCCTCGACCGCCCCTTCGCCGGGAATGTTCGCGAGCACCCCACGTGCTTGATAAAAACCCAGCACCGGCGCCGTTTCCTGGTGGTATACGCTGATGCGGTTGGCGACGGCCTCGGTGGTATCGTCATCCCGCTGATAAATGTCGCCACCATCCGGGCAGTCGTCGCACCGTTCTGGCGCGGTTCCGGTGGCGGGGTTACGGGCAAAGGGTTTCTGGCAACTCCGGCAAATGTAGCGGTTGCTGAGTCTCCGGACCAGCTCATCGTCTTCCACGCTAATGTGAATGACCCGATCGATGTGCCGACCAGATTCAGTAAGGGCCTGGTCCAATGCTTCAGCCTGAGTGACGTTGCGAGGGAATCCGTCCAGTAGGAAACCATCCGAATCAGCCATTTGGTTGATACGGTCCATCACCATGCCGATGGTTACTTCATCCGGCACCAGAACGCCCCGGTTCATATAACCACGCGCCAGTTCGCCAAGCTCGGTGCCGTTGGACAGGTGGTGTCGAAACAAATCGCCGGAACTGACGTGCTCCACCTGTAACTGCTCTTTGAGCAGCTGGGCTTGTGTTCCCTTGCCGGCGCCTGGAGGCCCGAAAAGGACGAGTTTGAGACCACTGGTGGTCATCGCATGAATCCTTCGTAGTTGCGCATCATCAACTGCGCTTCCAGTTGTCGCAACGTGTCCAGGCCAACACCAACCATAATCAGCAGGCTGGTGCTGCTCAGCGCGATGGCTTCCACGTTGGTCACCAGCGATGCCAGGTACGGCACTATCGCAATGAATCCCAGGAATAACGCGCCACCCATCGTGAGGCGAACAATCACCCGGTTGAGATAATCCTGGGTTGGTCGGCCCGGCCGGATGCCAAGCACGAACCCGCCATTGCGCTGGAGGTTTTCGGCGATGCTTTGTTGCTGGAACACCACCAACGTGTAAAAGAAGGTGAACGCAACGACCAGGACGAAGGCCAGCACCCAGTAGATGGGGCCAGTGGGGCTGAGGGCGACCTGGAGATTGCCCGCCAGGTCGCCGAGGAACCCGCCCGCCGAAGTCAGATACTGGGCGACGGTGCCGGGCAGAATCACGATGGAGAAGGCGAAAATCAGCGGGATCATACCGGCCGAGTTGATGCGCAGCGGTATGTATGACGAGCCGGATTGTCGATACATTTGCCCGCCTCGGAATATGCTGCGGCCATACTGCACCGGTATCCGGCGGTGCGCTTCGTTGAACACCACGATGAGCGCGACAATTAGTACCCCAATCAGGGCGAAGAAGAACACCCCGATAATATTGTCGCGGTCCAGGAACCCCTGCGCCAACAACCCGGGGAATCCAACCACAATTCCGGCGAAGATGATCAGCGAAATGCCGTTGCCAATGCCCCGTTCCGTGATGAGTTCACCCAGCCAGACCAGGAACATGGTGCCAGCTGTCATCGACAGGATGGCCGCTATCGTAGGAAGCAGGGCGTCGCCGGTGAACCCGACGTTGGTCAGCACGTTGGCCTGCTGCAGCAACACCAGCTGCGCAAAGGCCTGCGCGAAGGCGATGGGGACTGTGGCCCAATGAACGATCCGGTTGATTTTGACACGGCCGGCTTCGCCCTCTCGCGACATGTTTTGCAGTGTCGGGATAACCGGGGTCAGCAACTGCATGATGATGGACGCGGTGATGTAGGGGAAAACACCCAGCGCCACGATACTCATCCGCCGCAGGGCGCCACCCGAAAACAGGTCCAGGAACCCCAGCAACTGGTTATTGCTGAATAGGTTTTCCAGCGCCGCGTCATCCAGCCCAGGAATCGGTATATGAGCAACCAGCCGGTACAGGGCCAGCATACCCAGAGTAAACAGTATCTTGGTACGAAGATCTGGCAGGCTGAACGCGTCAAACGCAGCCTGAATTAACCTGGGCCACCGGCCGCCACCCTGCACCTCTGACTGTATCATTGTTATCTGAAATCTAGCGCGATAAATATTTGGCTAGGTTATAGTTCCTCTACCGAGCCACCAGCGGCCTCGATTTTGGCGCGCGCCGATGCGGTGAACTTGTGCGCTGTTACGGTGAGGGCCCCGCTTAGTTCGCCATCACCAACCACCTTTACGGGCAGACGCGTACGCCTGATAACACCCAACTGGTGGAGCGTTTCCGGCGTAACGTGAGACCCCGCTTCGAACAGTTCCTGGAGGGTGCCAGGCTAACCAGGGCGTAGTAAGTCTTATAGCGGTTGTTGAACCCCCCGCTTCATCGGGAGTCCCTTGATCAACGGTAACTGCCCGCCTTCAAAGCCCGGCCGGAGGCCCCGTCCCGAACGGGATTTTGGCCCTTCATACCCCGGCCGGCATAGGTGCCCGTCCGCCGGCCGCGTTTCCGCGTCCAATCCGTTTCCGGTTCCGGCGTGCACCTTCGGCGACGATATTTGGTGTTCCATCATGAGTGAGTGTGACTCCTGGCCGACTTCGACGGGCGGTTAGGGACTGAGCAGGCTCTACGGTAACCAGGTGCTGCACCTTGTTAATCATACCGAGGATGGTCGGGCTGTCCTCGTGAACCACGGAATGGTGCAGTCTCTTCAAGCCCAACGACTGCACGATCCGCCGTTGATAAGAAGGCCGTCCGATGCAGCTTTTTTTCCAGGTAATTTTTATCTGCGCCATATTATATCTTGCACCAATTTTTGCGACCGAGGGCAAACTTAAGCAGGCTCGTCGTCGTTGTTGTCATTCTCCGCGGCTGGCGCGGCTTCGGGAACAGCATCTTGGGACGCCGGAATTTCGGCTGGCGCTTCGGGAGCTGGCGTTGCTTCAGCCGAGACGTCCGGACTAGCTGCTGCGACGGTTGGCTCCGACACCGATGCGATCGGTTCGGTTGCGGACGGCGCCGGCGGGGCCACATCGGAGGCGGCGGCAGTTGGCTCAGCCGTGGTTGCCGGCGCCGCGGTGGCAGTTGCGCCATTGGTCGACCGGGGTGATTGCATTCATTCTAATGGCGCGTTCCGTCACCGGGTCGCGCAACAGGCTAAGCGCTTCCATGGTGGCCTGAACAATGTTGATTGGATTGCGCGAGCCTAACGATTTGCCGACTACGTCCTGAACGCCGCCCAACTCCAGCATGGCGCGCATGGCGCCGGCGGCAATGACGCCGGTGCCCGGGGGAGCGGGTTTGATGATGACGATAGACGCCCCTTTGCGGACCGATATCGCGTGGGGAATCGTGCTGCCTTTGAGGGGAATAGTTACGGTGCTGCGGCGCGCTACCGCGTTGCCTTTCCGCACCGCGTCTGGGATCGCCAACGCCTTGCCCATGCCGGCTCCAACGTGGCCTTGCCCATCTCCGACTACAACCAGCGCGTTAAAGCGCAGCCGACGACCGCCTTTGACGACTTTGGAAATGCGACGAGTGTGGACTACCCGTTCGGTGAATCCACCGCTGTCATCCTCTCGCGGCCGTTGCTCCCGGTCGCGACCCCGACCACCACGTCCGCCACGGCGGTCGCCGGGGGGCCGGGTCTCCACCACCTCTGTTATCGCCTCTACGTGTTGCAGGAGAAACCATCAGAATATAAGCCCTCCTTCGCGGGCAGCGTCGGCCAAGGCCTTCACTCGTCCATGAAAACGGTAGCCGCCTCGGTCGAACACGACAGAAGTAACCCCGGCGGCGATAGCGCGTTCTGCAACCATTTTGCCGACGGCAACTGAGGCGGCGGTTTTGGGTTGAACCTGCTCGTCGGACGTCAATTCCTGGCTTGATGCGTAGGCCAAGGTGTGTCCACGGGCGTCGTCAATCACTTGGGCGTAAATACCCTTCAGGCTGCGAAAAACGCAGAGTCGTGGGCGTCCAGGCGTACCATGAACCTTGTTTCGCACCCGTCGGTGCCTGACGACGCGCAATTTCCGGGAATCTTTATCGCGTGGCATTTACAGTTTGCTCTCAGGATTTGGTCAGGTTTGTCGGTAAGGTTTGTTGGTGAGATTGGAAGGAGTGCGCTTGGCGGTGCGTTACACGGCCCGGCGGGCAGCTGCCTTTCCGGGTTTAAGGCGCAACACTTCGCCTTGGTAGCGAATGCCTTTTTCTTTGTAACGGTTCGGCGGACGAACCCGGCGGACTTTGGCCGCCAGTTGGCCAACTTTTTGCTTGTCGATACCCGCAACATGAACCCTGTTGTTGCCTTCCACTTGCATGGTGAGCCCTTCCTCGGGGAACAACTCCACGGTATGACTGTAACCGACACTAAGGGTGATGCCTTCGCCGTTCTGTTGAACACGGTAACCCACGCCCATCAGTTCCAGCGTACGTGAGTAACCTTCGGTAACCCCGACGATGGCATTGGCAATCAGTGTGCGCGTCAGGCCGTGCAGCGCGTGGTGAAATTTCCGATCGGTGCGCCGTTCCACGACAACCTGGCCGCCTCCCACTTTAACGTTCACTTCCGGGTGGAATTTTTGAGTCAAGGTGCCACGGGGCCCGGTGACGACCACGCCACCGTAGATCACCTCTACGGATACCCCGGAAGGTATCGCAACCGGCTGGCGGCCAATGCGCGAAAGTGGGCGTTCCGTGGGTGCGACGCGTTCGGCAACGCCGACACTTATCAGAGCTTCATTACCAGACATAACAGACAATCTCCCCACCGATGCCTTTGCGCCAGGCTTGGTAACCGGTCATCATTCCCTGCGAAGTCGAAATGATGGTGATACCCAACCCGCCGTATACCCGGGGAATCTCGCCGTGGCCGACGTGTACCCGCAGGCCGGGCTTGCTCACTCGTTTCAGGCCGCGTATCGCGCTCAGTTCGCCTTCCCGATAGGCCAGTTGAACCCGCATAGTGGCGAATTTCTGACCGCGGGCCTCTTCCCAATCCCGGATGTATCCCTGGGATTTGAGAATGTCGGCAATGGCAACCTTGATCTTGGACTGGGGTATCAGCACGGACTGATGCTTGGCCTGGATCGCATTGCGAATCCGGGTCAACATGTCAGCTACTGGGTCATTAATGGGCATTCCGGTGTTGCTCCTCTTTAATTACAACAACTGCTGCGGTCAATTTACAGGCTGGCCTTGCGAACGCCGGGCAACAACCCGTCCAGCGCCATCTCACGGAATGAAATGCGAGACAGACCGAAGTGGCGGATGTACGCCCGCGGCCGTCCGGTGGCTCCGTCCCGGTTGCGTACGCGGTTGGGATTGGCGTCGTGGGGTAGTAGGGCCAATTTCTGTCTAGTCTCAAACCTCTGACGCGCCGGCAGCGAGAGGTCTCGCGCTTCCGCCAGCAGTGCAGCACGCTGTTGGGCGAATTTGGCTACCGTCTGCTTGCGTCGTTCGTTTTTGACGATTAGGGATTTCTTGGCCAAGGTAATTCTCTCCTAGGTGGGAACTACTGCTGTATGAAGGGCATCCCGAAGTGTTCCAGCAATCGGGACCCTTCGGCGTCATTGGTTGCGTTGGTAGTGATGGTTACCTGGAAGCCCCGCAACCGGTCAATGCTGTTGTAGTCAATCTCGGGGAACACAATCTGCTCGCGCAGTCCCAACGAGAAATTGCCCCGCCCGTCGAAGCCGCGTCGTGATATGCCTCGGAAGTCGCGAATACGGGGCAGCGCCGTCAATATCAGGCGTTCCAGGAAGTAGTACATACGGTCGCCCCGCAGGGTCACAGTCGTGCCGATGGGGTTGCCTTCCCTGACTTTGAAGTTGGCGATGGACCGGCGCGCCCGGGTGATTATCGGCTTCTGGCCGGAAATCGTCGTCAGATCTCTGACGGCGCTTTCCATGGCGCGGCCGTTGGTCAACGCTTCGCCCAAGCCAATGTTCAGGTTGATCTTGGTGATCCGTGGCACCCGCATCGGACTGGCGAACCCGAATTCGGTCATCATCGCCGGAACGATTTCATCGAAATACTGGGCTTTCATGGTCGGCGGCGGTAGGGCCGTCGGTTCGGACCCGTTGGATCCGGCATTGTCCTGCCCGCGTCGCTGTCGACGACCGCGACTTTCGGCTGGGACAGCTTCCTGCACTGCGGCTTCCTGCACGGCAGTAGTCTGCGCCCCTTCGTCGGCCTGGTTGGCTTGTTCTTCCCTGGTTGGTGGTCATAATGCTTACTCGTCCCGATTGCGGAACTGGGTGCTGGGTTCGGTGTAGTTGCTTTGCACCAGTTTGATGTTGGAGCGATGAATGGACGATTCTTGCTGTACGCGCCCTCCCTGGCGAATGCCGGGGCGGGGTTTGACGTGTTTGGTGACGATGCTCACACCCTCAACTACAACCCGGTCGCGTTCTGGCAACATATTGAGAACGCGGCCAGTTTTCCCTTTGTCTTTCCCGGCAATGACCAACACGTCGTCGCCGCGCCTGATTTTGGATTTTGCCATTACACTACCTCAGGGGCCAACGACACGATCCGCATGAATCCTTTGTCGCGCAGTTCCCGGGCTACCGGGCCAAATATGCGAGTGCCGCGTGGCAACTGGTTGTCGGTGATGAGCACCGCAGCATTGTCGTCAAATTTGATGTAGGTGCCATCGGGCCGCAGCAGGGGAGCTGCTTGCCGAACCACCACCGCCTTGACGACGGTTCCTTTCCGTACTGGTGAATTTGGGCACCGCTTCCCGCACCGTGCAGACGATGATGTCGCCCACCGATGCGTACTTGCGACGGCTGGAGCCTGGAATGTTGATCAGGCGGATTCGTCGCGCGCCACTGTTGTCCGCGACGTGGAGCCTCGTGTAACTCTGAATCATCTACGCTTCCTCGTCGTCGGCATCTTCCATCGCCGCGTCTTCCGCATCATTTGGTTCCTCGTCGGATTCAGCAGCCGCCGTGCGAAGTAGGGAGCTGTCCTCCAGATCGATCGGCCGCACGTCGGCGACTTCACGGCGTGCCATGATGTCCAGCAACCGCCAGTGCTTGGTGCGGGAGATCGGGCGAGTTTCCTGGATCCGAACCGTGTCGCCGATGCGACATTGATTGTCGGGGTCGTGGACGTAAAAACGCGTTACGCGGGCGCATCTGCTTGCGGTACACGCGGTGGCGTTGTTTCCACACCAGTTCGACAACGGCGGTTTTGTCCATCCGGGTGGCTACTACGGAGCCGACCCGAACCTTGCGCATTGTTATTGCCATTGAAAATATTCCTGGAGCTTGGCCCTGGAGTTTGTCTTGGGTAAAACGTTCGGAAATCGTAAGGCGCTTATGCTATCTCGCGTTCCCGCAAACAGGTCAGTAGCCTGGCGATATCCTTCTTGGTTTTGCGCGGTTGGTTGGTGTCGGTCAACTGGTTGGTAGCGTCCCTGAACCGCAGGTTCATCAGTTCTTTGTAGGACTTCTCCAACTCCTCTCGAATCTGGTCGTCAGAGAGCGCCCTGATTTCGTACATCTGCATGGTTCAGCCACCGGTTCCCGATAGCAAGGCCGTGATCCGGTCCTTGTAGACAATCTTGGTAGGGATCGGCAGTTTGTGGGCCGCGCGCCGCAGGGCTTCTTCCGCCTGGTTCAGGGGCACACCGCCCACTTCAAACATGATGCGTCCCGGCTTCACCACTGCGACCCAGTGGTCGTTTGCCGCCTTCCCGCCGCCCATGCGCACTTCCGCCGGTTTCTTGGATACCGCCTTGTCGGGGAAGATGCGGATCCAGGTGCGTCCACCGCGCAGGAGGCTACGGGAAATGGCGATACGAGCCGATTCAATCTGACGGGCGGTAATCCAGTCTGGGCTCATGGCTTTTGAGTCCGATTTCACCGAATTCAACCTTGTTGCCCGTGGTCGCGGCGCCGCGGCGCTTGCCCCGTCCCATCTTGCGGAATTTGGTTCTCTTTGGTTGTAACATTTTGCTGGTCTCCGTAGTCGGTCGGGTCGACCGGGCGGATGCGTTTTATCGGTTAGTTTTCCAGTTCGGCAACGGCGTCGGCTTCGGGGTCAGCGTCCTGACTGGCGACTCGGAATTCAATGCTTTCCAGTTCGGTATCTTCTTCGGCTGCCGGCGGCATGATCTGACCTTTGTAGATCCACACCTTGATACCGATTCGGCCCATTGCGGTGGACGCCTCGGACAAGGCGTAGTCGATGTCGGCGCGCAGGGTGTGCAGGGGAACCCGGCCCATCATCAGCTTCTCGGTACGGGCGATTTCGGCACCCGAGATGCGGCCCTTGGTAATGATTTTTACGCCCTCGGCGCCGGCCTGCATGGTGCGCAGGGCAGCCTGACGCATCGCGCGGCGGTAGGCAACGCGGCGGCTCAGCTGGTCGGCGATGTTCCTGCCCACCAGATACGGATCAAGTTCGGGTTGCTCGATTTCTATAATATTGAGGCGCAACTGGCCCGCAGTCATCGTTTCCAAGCGGGAACGCAGACCCTTGACACGATCGCCATCCCGGCCGATCAGGATGCCTGGCCGCGCGGAATGCACGTTGATGATGATTTCCTGAGCCGTGCGGTCAATCTCGATCTTGGCAATGCCGGCATCGGAAAACGCGGCGTACTCAGCGTGGATGGACCGCCTGATGGACATGTCCGCTTGCACGCTGGCCCGATACTGGGCGCCGTTGTTTGCGTACCAATGGGTCTTCCAGTCTTTGATGATGCCCAGACGGAACCCCAGGGGATGGGTTTTGTGGCCCATAGGTTAGTTCTCCTGTATCTCGTCCACTTCGATGATGATATGGCTGGATCGCCGGGTAACCCGACCGATGCGGCCTCGCGCCCGCGGGCGAAAACGCTTGATCGGACGGGCCTGGTCTGCCGATATTCGGGTGATGCGGAGACCATCCCAAAAAAAAGCTCAAGTGAAAAGCAAACGGTAAAAAAAGGGGAGGGTTAAGTGAATAATCTACTGACGAGAAAGTGCATTGGACTCGCTCCGAGTTGACAAACCAAACACACCTTACCACGGTGCGCGCCCATGGGGGCGCGTGTCAAGTCAGAGCGTATCTAAGCTGGTCTAGAGAGTGGACAGTCGATGTAACCGTTTGAGCCGACCGACGGGCGCGCAACAAGAAGAAAGCGGCACCGTACGGGGACAAGTAATGTTTTGTAGCCGTTTGGAAACAATAAACAGAGCATGGCCAACTACGGATTGCTTGGGCGCCAATTCCTCATGCGATGGCATTGAATTACACCGTAAGCGGGGTCACAGCAAGGGCGGGGGAAAAGATAAAAAAAAACAAAAACGGGAGGAGTGGGTAATGGGCAAGTTGGGACCCCGGACTGGCCCGCGCTCATTGGCCGGGAGAACGTGTTCCCCGCTGTAGGGCAGTGTTAAAGAGAAAAAACGTGACGAACAGCGTGACGTGGTGGCGGGGCAAATTCGAAACCTCCAGCGGATGGCCACCGATGAGGTGTTTCGATTTATGAACACCACGGAAACGATTGCCGCCCGAGGGCCAGGTCGATGAACGATCGTGACCGCAAATTCAACCCTACCCATTTCTGCAATTTCTGTGCATGAAAATTCTGAAGATCATCGAGACAGGTCCGAATGAACCGATGTCGTTCTCACACTAAGCACGGGGGAGGATAGGACCGCAAAAACGACTGCATCAAAGATAAACATTACAATTCATGCAAGCTCGTGATTCAGGAGTGGACGTAGGGTACCCTTATTTTACTGACCTTAGCAAAAATTAAAAATACAAAAACTAGCAATCGCACGCCTATTTTTGTGATGATTTCGTCCTAACGACGTTTGGCGACGGTCCCCATGGAATATGGGTCGCGCGGGGGTGTGGCTGGATGCTATTGGGAGAAGTTTCCTTGTTGGCGTAGTCGTGCAGTGTCCCGAGCGTTGGCTTGCCGTGGGGGACTTTGGGCCCGGCATACGATCGGTGGCGCGTCCTCCCCGGTCC